AAATCAGTGAATCCAGGAGCTGGTTTTTTGAAAAGATCAACAAAATTGATAGACCACTAGCAGGACTAATAAAGAAGAAAAGAGAGAAGAATCAAATAGACACAATAAGAAATGATAAAGGGGATATCACCACCGACCCCACAGAAATACAAACTACCATCAGAGAATACTTTAAACACCTCTACGCAAATAAACTAGAAAATCTAGAAGAAATGGATAATTTCCTGGACACTTACACTCTTCCAAGACTAAACCAGGAAGAAGTTGAATCCCTGAAGAGACCAATAGCAGGCTCTGAAATTGAGGCAATAATTAATAGCCTACCAACCAAAAAAAGTCCAGGACCAGATGGATTCACAGCCGAATTCTACCAGAGGTACAAGGAGGAGCTGGTACCATTCCTTCTGAAACTATTCCAATCAATAGAAAAAGAGGGAATCCTCCCTAACTCATTTTATGAGGCCAACATCATCCTGATACCAAAGCCTGGCAGAGACACAACAAAAAAAGAGAATTTTAGACCAATATCCCTGATGAACATTGATGCAAAAATCCTCAATAAAATACTGGCAAACCGAATCCAGCAGTATATTAAAAAACTTATCCACCATGTTCAAGTGGGCTTCATCCCTGGGATGCAAGGCTGGTTCAACACATGCAAATCAATAAACTTAATCCAGCATATAAACAGAACCAAAGACAAAAACCACATGATTGTCTCAATAGATGCAGAAAAGGCCTTTGACAAAATTCAACGGCCCTTCATGCTAAAAACTCTCAATAAATTTGGTATTGATGGAACGTATCTCAAAATAATAAGAGCTGTTTATGACAAACCCATAGCCAATATCATACTGAATGGGCAAAAGCTGGAAGCATTCCCTTTGAAAACTGGCATAAGACAGGGATGCCCTCTCTCACCACTCCTATTCAACATAGTGTTGGAAGTTCTGGCTAGGGTAATCAGGCAAGAGAAAGAAAGAAATGGTATTCAGTTAGGAAAAGAAGAAGTCAAATTGTCCCTGTTTGCAGATGACATGATTGTATATTTAGAAAACCCCATCGTCTCAGCCCCAAATCTCCTTAAACTGATAAGCAACTTCAGCAAAGTCTCAGGAAACAAAATCAATGTGCAAAAATCACAAGCATTCTTATACACCAGAAACAGACAAACAGAGAGCCAAATCAGGAATGAACTTCCATTCACAATTGCTTCAAAGAGAATAAAATACCTAGGAATCCAACTTACAAGGTATGTAAAGGACTTCTTCAAGGAGAACTACAAACCACTGCTCAGTGAAATAAAACAGGACCCAAACAAATGGAAGAACATACCATGCTCATGGATAGGAAGAATCAATATTGTGAAAATGGCCATACCGCCCAAGGTAATTTATAGATTCAATGCCATCCCCATCAAGTTACCAATGACTTTCTTCACAGAATTGGAAAAAACTGCTTTAAAGTTCACATGGAACCAAAAAAGAGCCCGCATTGCCAAGACAATCCTAAGTCAAAAGAACAAAGCTGGAGGCATCACGCTACCTGACTTCAAACTATACTAGAAGGCTACAGTAACCAAAACAGCATGGTACTGGTACCAAAACAGAGATACAGACCAATGGAACAGAACAGAGTCCTCAGAAATAATACCACACATCTACATCCATCTGATCTTTGACAAACCTGAGAAAAACAAGAAATGGGGAAAGGATTCCCTATTTAATAAATGGTGCTGGGAAAATTGGCTAGCCATATGTAGAAAGCTGATACTGGATCCTTTCCTTACTCCTAATACGAAAATTAATTCAAGATGGATTAGAGACTTAAATGTTAGACCTAATACCATAAAAACCCTAGAAGAAAACCTAGGGAATACCATTCAGGACATAGGCATGGGCAAAGACTTCATGTCTAAAACACCAAAAGCAACGGCAACAAAAGCCAAAATGGACAAATGGGATCTAATCAAACTAAAGAGCTTCTGCACAGCAAAAGAAACTACCATCAGAGTGAACAGGCAACCTACAGAATGGGAGAAAATTTTTGCAATCTACTCATCTGACAAAGGGCTAATATCCAGAACCTACAAAGAACTCAAACAAATTTACAAGAGAAAAACAAACAACCCCATCAAAAAGTGGGCAAAGGATATGAACAGACATTTCTCAAAAGAAGACATTCATACAGCCAACAGACACATGAAAAAATGCTCATCATCACTGGCCATCAGAGAAATGCAAATCAAAACCACAATGAGATACCATCTCACACCAGTTAGAATGGCAATCATTAAAAAGTCAGGAAACAACAGGTGCTGGCGAGGATGTGGAGAAATAGGAACACTTTTACACTGTTGGTGGGATTGTAAACTAGTTCAACCATTGTGGAAAACAGTATGGCAATTCCTCAAGGATCTAGAACTAGAAATACAATTTGACCCAGCCATCCCATTACTGGGGATATACCCAAAGGATTATAAATCATGCTGCTATAAAGACACATGCACACATATGTTTATTGTGGCACTATTCACAATAGCAAAGACTTGGAATCAACCCAAATGTCCATCAGTGACAGACTGGATTAAGAAAATGTGGCACATATACACCATGGAATACTGTGCAGCCATAAAAAAGGATGAGTTCGTGTCCTTTGTAGGGACATGGATGCAGCTGGAAACCATCATTCTCAGCAAACTATCGTAAGAACAGAAAACCAAACACCACATGTTCTCACTCATAGGTGGGAATTGAGCAATGAGATCACTTGGACACGGGAAGGGGAGCATCACACACTGGGGCCTATTGTGGGGAGCGGGGAGGTGGGAGGGATGGCTTTGGGAGTTATACCTGATGTAAATGATGAGTTGATGGGTGCTGACGAGTTGATGGGTGCAGCACACCAACATGGCACATGTATACATATGTAACAAACCTGCACGTTGTGCACATGTACCCTAGAACTTAAAGTATAATGAAAAAAAAAGAAAGAAAAGAAAAAAAGAGAAACGTAGATAGGACCAGTATTGAAGAAAAGGATAAATTAGGAGCTTATTGTGGAAAGATACTGGAGAAGTATTAAGAGTCTAAATTACACAGGGTTTTATAAATCACATGAAGCAATTTTTTTTCTACTCTAAGAACCATTGAGGACCCAGGTGGTTGACATGGTCAAATTTGCACTCTGAAAAGGTCACCCTCACTGTGTACAAAGCACTATATTGAGAAGTGATGGGGTCTGTCACGTTTGCTAGGGGCAGAGGAGCAAGGGATTAGGGAGGATTTAAAATTTGGATGTGAAGGTGAATTAGGTTATAGAGGTTGCAGTGTCTTCTGGAAAACTTGGTAGATGGTACACTCAATAGAACTTGGAAATACATTGGATATGGTAATTCAAAAATAACTATGAACCAAAAATATTATGAGTCCTAATATGTCCTAAACTGAGGGTCTGGCAGAAACTTCTAATTGTCTGTAAAATGTCCATTATCACCTATTTTTTTTTTTACTAATAGAACCCGAATTTTGCTGTGAATGGAAACATACTTAGATAATAATCCTGATATCCTAGCCTCCCTTGCAGATGGGAGGAAGTGGGAACATCGAACAGCACTCTAGTAAATGAGTGTAAGGAGAAGCCATTGGGCGGAGCTTCTGGTAAAGATGGACTCAGCCAGCATGTACATGTGCTCTTGACTTTCTCCTTCTTTCAGTCTGGAAGGTGTATAAAGTGGAAGGATCTCTATCAGTCTCTTGAAAATACAAAAACAAGAGTGACACATTAAGAGTGAAAAACAGTAAGCTAGGAAGACCCTGGTTCCTTTGTAACATGATGAAGGTACTGCACAAGCCCTGATTATTACAGAGCTCCTTTGTATGGGAAAAAAAACCTCAATCTTGTTAAAAACATTATTGTTTGGGTTTTTTAAATGTGAACCTGAGCCAGTCTCTTACATATATAGAAGATATTCATTAAAAATTGAAATTCATCACTTTATCGGAGGCTGATGGAGTAAGTCAGAATTGAGCTTAATAGTCTAGATCTTCAAAGATGCTCTAGTGATTCTGGTACAGCTAATATTGATGGGTTAAGGTCTGACTTGTGGGAACCACTATCCTATACAACCTTTCCCTGCCCTCCCCCACTTTTCTCACCAAAGCATGCACCTAAATACAAATGCTCTAATTTTCTCCACAAACACATTTTCGGTACTATCTAAACTGTGTCAAGAAAACTATAGTCAGCATTTATTTCTCAGTAGGAGCAAGAATAAATAGCTGAAAAACTGTTATGTATTTGATACTAAAAACACTGCTTTCAAAACACAGCGTTTTAGGACCTGGTAGTGGCAAACACCTGTCTCTCGTTTGGATGGGGAAAAGTTGTTACTTTCTTATAAATTCCCAATTTATCTAATAGAGACATTGAAGCTTGGGAATCATATGACTAATAAATGGTGAAATCAGATCCAGATATCTGTCATTATCACTCCAAAGATTCAGAAGTCTGTCTTATTATGCAATGGTTTACTCCTCAGCTCTAAAATGAAAAGCTGGGTTGAGAGTCCTAGGACCCCTTCCAATTCTAATGCCGAATGAATCTACTGCTTCTTATACAATCAGAGGAATGCAAGAGCCACCTAATGCATCTCAAAGACCCACTGACATCTTGGGAGGGCTGCACATAGGACAAATGAGACCTTCTAAAACCGAGCAGCCTTCCTCCTCTTCCACAAGTGACCGGTGACTGTTTTTTTTTTTCCTAATAAAATTAGGGATTAAGTAATATTTTGGGCTCATTGATCCAAATCCTTTATTTCAAGTGAGGAAATTGAAGGCTGCTGCACTGACAATGTCCCTATGTAGCCAGGATTAGCAGAACTGAGCCTGGTATTTCCATTTCCTGTTCCAAATTTCATGCCTTTTCCCCTAGTCCAAGATGCTTTTATAAAAATCATGAATTTGAAAGGGTTCCCCTTTTACTTTGCCAGTTGTTTGTAGATTCTTCTTCACTGAAAGACATAACCACCAGTTCTGCCCACTGTTAGGGCTTCTAAGAAGCTGCTTTGGCAGGGTTTGTGTAGAGGCTGCAGGTTCCTGGGGAACACTGTGCATCCGTAGCACAGAAGTAAGAAGCAGTGTCTGCTGCCCGGGAAGCCGTGATCAACAAGGAACTGCTTTTCTTGGAAGTGTCAAGAGTGACTCTTAGTCTTCCACTATTTTTCTCTCTTTCATTTGAACGTATTAAAATTAGCTGTACAAGGCTTCTACCTGAATCTTGTCTATACCACTGTAAATTGTTTATACTAGTTTTGTAGCTGCAGTTCATGGTGGCATTTTCACCCTCCTGGATGCTCAAGGTCTGAGGATCCTCTTCTGCTTGCTGACTGTTCACCCCTAGGCAGAAACACAGGTCCGGGACCAGGAGTCACTCATTACATTTTCAAATTACATTTCCAAATTAATAAGAACACTTTACCCCTCAGTCCTGTGGGCTCTAAAGTTTGGTCTTGCCATTCCCATCACCAAAAACCCCAACTCACTGGCCAGTTGAAGCCATAGAATCACCAAAGACACTCCCAGGAGAGTTTCCATTCTTCTTCCTTATTGAAATCACAGAAGACCTGAAATGGAGCCAGGCTCCTCAGTCACAGGTGAGCTCTCTTTACTGGATGAATCTCTAGTCCTTCTGTCCCCTAGTCTCAGGTTCCTACCTAGCCAGTCAGAGGCAAGCTCAGTCCTTTGCTTTCAACGCAGACAGGCTGATTTAAAGCCAAGTTAGTCTGAGAAGAGGGAGGCACTGCCCTCTTGTGACGGCAACATCATCCTGCTGCTAGAATGTACTCTGGAATGGCGATGCAAGTTCAGAGCTGACTCAGAAGAAATTATAAAGCTATCCAGTCTCTGCCTTTATTGAATTCTGGTTATAACTTAGAATAGGAACAGATTCATTTCAATTCAGGTAAGAACTCAACTACGAAAGTTGGTGCTCAATATTTGCAGACTACCTCTGAGAAGCACTGTTAAATTCCCTGTAGTTACTATGACCTCTGATCCTATGAGCTTCCTTTTAAAAAATTTTCCCTGGAATGAGATTATATACAAGTCAGGGTTTTTATTGATGGGCAACAGAAATGGACTCTGCCTGAATTAAGTAGAAAAGGAATAAATTAATGAATACTGGATTTGCCTCAGAATCTCCAATAGGGTCAGAGAATTGAACTCAAAAGCTATTAAGTCAGCAGCAGTACAGAAAATCACCCTGGAGAACCACTCCTCTGAATATCCCACTGGCTCCTCTCCTGAGCTCCAGATACTGCATGTAGTTTATTCAAGACTGTTCATGCAGGACAATGTATGTAGCTACAATTCCACTGCCTTGTAGCTCTGTAAACTCTCATGTCCATCTTGTGGTAATTACCACCACTCCCAAAAAGCAAATTCTTGCTTTTTCTTTTCTATTTTTTTTTTTTTTTTTTTTTTTTTTGCACAAGTAACTCCTGAGTGAAAGTTAGGGAACAGTTCATCTAACTGTTGGAGCCCAAGCCATGTGCCCACATCAAGCCACGTGCCCACATCAAGCCTAACCAGAAGACAGGTTATGAGTGTACTGTATTAGTTTACCAGAGCTCCCATAACAAAGTATCACAGACTGCATGGCTTAAACCACAAACATTTATTTTCTCATGATTTTAGGCACTACAAGTTCAAGGTCAAAGTGCTGGCAGGTTTAGTTTCTTTTGAGGTCTTTCTCCATGACTCATAGATGGCTGTCTTCTTCTGTGTCTTCACATGGTCATCCCTTTGCCTGTGCTGTCTGTCCTAATCTCCTCTTAAGGATACCAGTCTTATTGAATTAGGAGTTACCCTCTGGACCACCTTTTAACTTTACCTCTAAAAGTTCTGTCTCCAAATACAGTCACGTTCTGAGGTACCGGGGGTTAGGGCATCTACATACACATTTTGTGGAAACACAATTCAGCCCACGGCAGTGAATACCTACAAGTTTTAGTTTCTATGGCAGGAGGCAGGCAGGTCCAGGAAGAGAGGAAGTTTTGTAGTCAGGCCATCGAAGTCAGGTTTACATCTGTCAATTCAGTGCTGTTTCTGTCTTCTGTGCCTACATTCTCTTGGCTGTACAACATGGATCATGAGTAAATAATAATACTACCTTTCAGAGCTGTTGAAGGTTAATGATGAGATCATAAAATGTCATTTAGCGCAGTGCCTGACATTCATTAGTGACTGAAAAATTATTATTGTTATAAGAAAATGGGTCCTGATGCAGAGCAGTGAAAAAGAATAGCAAGAATCTTCTAGAGTATTTTATAAATATTCTCAAAAATTGATTTTAAGATATTTTGTGTGTAAAACAGAGGGAGAGATGGGAAAGAGAAGAGAGGAAAACAGAGAAAGGAAAAAAGAAATGAAGAGAAGAAGAGATTGCTGGCTGGAGCAATATGTATATTGGAGAGTTCCAGGAGATAAGTCTAGAAGAATGGTCTGGGTTAGATGACTGCCAAAATAAATCTGTATGTATTTCTGTGCGAAATGAAGACATATGAAAGCTTTTTGAGCAATTAACCAGTGTTATTTAACAAACTGAAATTTTAATCTGTCTGCTCTCTTCCAGATAATTTTGGAAAAGTCTGTGAGGAAATTTAGAATAGTAGTTAAAAGATGTACCCTGGTTCTAAGAAATTAAATGCTGTGTCTAATGTCTCACAATGAGGAGGTCAAGAATATAGCACTTTTAATATTTGTGTGTATTTAGCTGTATCTGCGAAAAGTAACCAGAAATATTGCTGGCCTCTTGGGAAAACTGTGAGACAGAGGTAAAAGTGTGAGGTAGAATAGAACTATTTTTACAATAGTGCTGCTATTATTTGAGTCTTTCACTGTGTTGACACTTACACTGATGGAGCAAATGCAGTTGCTTGCATTTTAACACAGGTAAAATAAATGAACCAAAAATGTTCTAGTAGTCATTGTACATAATTATTACCACCGCACTGGTGAGAGAAAAAGATTTTACTCAAGAATGTCCTATGAGTTGATGGGTGCTGATGAGTTGATGGGTGCTGATGAGTTGATGGGTGCTGATGAGTTGATGGGTGTTGACGAGTTGATGGGTGCAGCACACCAACAGGGCACAAGCATACATATGTAACAAACCTGCACGTTATGCACATGTACCCTAGAACTTAAAGTATAATTAAAAAAAAAAAAGAAGCTTTTGTTTCAGATAATAAAATATAATTGCTCAAGGAGGCTTCCCCATTCAAAGATTATGTTTTGCAAATTGCCTATAATTTCTTATGTTTATAGTTTCATTCTTGTAAATAACTCTAATTTATTGTTAATTTATGTTATATAAAATGTTACTTATAGATTAAAAAAAAAAAAAAGAATGTCCTAGATGTAGAAGTAAAAAATTTTAAATTAACCCTTGAGACTACAGCTTTTTAATATTCTGTGTGATGACATAGCACATATGCATAAAGCTCATCTGGGGTGTACTAACACAATGGTATCTTGAGAGTGGAAGGCACTGGAGCACTGTTTGAATTGTGAGCTAAATTAGCTGTTTTTCATAGAACTTTTTTTTTTTACTTGAAGGCATGAGTGACAGAACAGCAGATTTGGGTAGTTGGAAGAAATGTTCTTGAAAATGATAAAGTGTGAGACTGCCATTTTGAGGAAAACACTGAATAGTGGTTGTTGCCGATGATAATATTTGAGCTTCCAAGTGAAAATTAGAATTTTGGAAAATTTGCATCCACTACCATCGGCTTCACAGCTTCCCAATTCTTAGTGGTTTTGCTGATAAGATTGGTGGTGATAGTAAAGAATGCAATTTTTGAACTATAGTCCTGTATTTGTTTTGAAATTATTATAAATCCATGGGAAGTTGCCAAAATAGTTTATAGAACCCTGTGTACTTTTCACATAGCCTTTTCCAGTGGCGATATCTTATATAACTGAAATGCAGTATAAATACCAGGAAATTGACATTGTTCAAATACCACTAACTAGACTACAGATATTATTCAATTTTCACCATTTTCCTACTTTTCTCTGTGTGTGTGCATGCATACATATGTGTGGTTCTTGATTTTATCTCATATAACCACCAACATAATAAAGATTCAGACTGTTCCATCAACACAGAATTCTCTCATCCTAACCCTCTATATGCACGAACACCCTCCCATCCCCAATCTCTGTCTCCTAGCAACCATCTCTTATAGTTCTGTTGTTTTGAGAATGTTATATATATGGAATCAAACTGTATGTAACCTTTGGGAATTGACCCATACAGGTTGTTTCATGTATCAATAGTTTGTTCCTTTTTTGTCATATTATTCCATGGTATGAACTACTATAGTTTATTTAACCATTTACCCCTTGAAAAATCTCTAGGTTGATTCCAGTTTTTGGCAATTATGAATAAAGTTACTATGAATGTTGTATCAGACTTTATGTGAATGTTACTGGGATAGATGTCCAATTCACAATGGCATGGTCATATTTAGTTTATGTTTTAATATTCTGTGTGATGACATAGCACGTATGCATAAAGCTCATCTGGGGTTTAGTGCATGTTTAGTTTCATAAAAAACTGCCAAATTATTTTCCAGAATGGCTGTACTATTTTACAATCCCACCAGCAATGTATACAAGTGTCCATTTCTCTACATACTCACCAACATTTAGTATTATTATTATTTTGTATTTTAGTTGTTCTAATATGTTTGTAGTGATATCTTATTGTAATTTTTGTTTTCATTTTGTTAGTGAAGAATGTACTGAATATCTTTTTATTTGCTTATTTTTCACCCATATTTTTACTTTGGTGAAATATCTGTTCTATTTCTAATTGGATTATTTATATGTTTCTTTTTTACACTGAGATTTGAGTGCTGTTTATTCTAGATATAAGACTTCTGTCTGATGTGCGATTTATAAACATTTTCTCTCTGTCTATAGGTTGCCTTTTATTCTATTAACGTGGTCTTTCTACAATGCCAAAGGTTTCCATTTTATTTAAGGCCAATTTAACATTTTTCTCTTTTATAGATTGCACTTTTTGGGTGCATGTCCAAGAACTCACTATCTAGCTCTAGTTCTCAGATATTTTCTCTAGTTCATGATATATGAGTTTAGGATTGGTAGAATGATGTGCCGAAGGTCTTGAGGTGAGTTTTATTGATAAAACTATTGTTTTCATAAGCAAGCTATTTTTCCAATTAAGGAAACTCTTATCCTGATTAGGCATCTGTTTGCCCAGAGGAACATACTGTTTGCCTATATTAATTGGTTTGACACGGTTCCCTGAAGAAACCAGTGAAATCACATTAGTGGAGGTTGACTCACATGCTCACAGGAGAGGATTGCTAATTTTCATATTTGTTTAAATGAATTTGATATTCCTTTCCTGTGTACATATTGTGTGCTCCATACTGTGTTAGAAGGTTAGGTAAAAGCCAGAGAGAACATAATAGCTCTTCTCTGGAACATTCAGCTCAATAGGAAGAGGAGATAAGATAAAGTTTTAATATACTGTGATGGTTACCAGAACATATTGCAGAGTTGTCAGGAAGGGGGCGAGTAGCTCCAGAAGCCATAACATGCTTAAAATATAAGAAGCTCTTGAGCTGGAAGTTGAAGATCAATACCTTTAATGATAAACTCCACAAAAATTCAAGGACTTGTCACTTCAGTGAAGTTTCCAGAGGTTCAACCGTCCAGAGAATATTGAGGCATCTCTTCCAAGGTGAAAGACATGTTGCTGCACCCCACACCACCTACCACAGAAAAAGAGGCACACATTTGACTGACTATTTTACATTTGGAGGCAATCTATGCCACATGGGGGTATGCTATTTTGGCCTATTTACAGAGTCATCTGTAAAGCTGCCAATTATCAGAGGAAACCAGAGCAACAGGAGACTCTACAATTTCAGGCTTCAGTACAATCTGTTTCATCGCATTGGTCTTTTGATTCAGCAGATCCAACAATGATATTCAAAGTTTCCATGGCAAGTAAGAATGCTCTATAGAGACTCTGGGAAACACCAATAGGAGAATCACAGCATAGTCTTCTAGTAGTTGGGAGAATATGTTCCATTTTCTACAGATAACAAGGTAACTATTGCCAGTTTACCTTGGTAAAGTCTGAATGTCTCATTGAGACATTCTCATACCTGAATGTCTGAATGTCTCATACCTCTGAATGTCTCAAGGTAAACTGGCAATAGTTACCTTGTTATCTGTAGAAAACTAGATGACCAAGAACCAACTGCTGTCTGACCTAATCAGCCATAATGTTGGGCATGCCCAGAAGCAATCATCAAGCGGAAATTGTACATAAGAGACCACATTGAGGCAGATCCATAAGGTGCAAGTTAGCTGCATGAGCAGGTGGCTCAGATTCCTTTGATGCCAACTTCTCTTACATTGTCTCTTTTTCTGTAATCCATGACTGTGTCCTCCTGGGGAGTTCCTTACTCCTTCAAGTGGTACATTTTGGTTATCCACATTATCTGGTAAAAGATGGCCAGAGGTGCTCATCTACACTGATTCATGATTTCACTGTCATTTCACTGTTGTGTCATTTCACTGTTGTGTCATTTCACTGTTGTTTGGAAGTTGAAATGTGCATATAGGAATGCATGTGAGCCAGGTGCAGTCATGATTCATGGGAAGTTGTTAAAGGTTTGGCCAGATGGCAAAAGACCTAGAAGGAATAGGCTTGAAAGATGATGGCAAGGAAATCTAGGAAAGAAGTATCTTGATGGACCTCTCAGAATGAACAAAGACTGTCAAGATAATTTTGCTCAATGTGAAAACTGACCAAGAGAAACCAAATGCGGTAGAAACTATTGTAATGGACAAAATGATGCCTTCTATGGATGTGTCAACATTTTTCCCAGCCATCCAAGTGCTTGCTCAATGGTCACATGAAATAAGTGGCCCTGCTGGCAGGGATGAATGCCATGCATGAGCTCAAAAGCATGGATTTCCCCTTATTAAGGCTAACTTAGCTAATGCTACTGCTGAACGCCTAATCTGTAAATCACAGAGACTAATACTGAGCTCCTCATATGGTGTCATGCCCCAAGGGACCAACCAGATACCTGTTGATTGCTCTTCTATCATAGAGATGACTGAGATGTGTCCTTACTAGAACAGACACATATACTTGCCTATGAATTTGTCTTGTCTTCCTTGTATGCAATTCTTCTGCTGGCCTCCTCTTCACAAACTTACAGAATGCCTAATTCACCATCAAAATAATCCTCACAGCATTTACTCCAATGAAGGAACTATTTTTACTGCAAAGTAGTACATCTGTGGACACATGCCTATGGAATCATATAGACTTATCACGTATCTTACAATGCACAAGTGTTTGTTGAAATGTGGAATGGCTTGTTGATTGAGCTATGGCACCAGTTTGAAGACACCCTGAAAAGATCAGGTTCTATCTTACAAGATGCAGTATCTGCTTTACATCAAAAACCATTATATGGTATTGCCCCCCACCCCCCACCCGCCATAGCCAGAATGCATGGGTCAAGACATCAAGGAAGTGGTCCTGAGAATGGATTGTCTCACTCTTATTACCAGTAGCCCACTATCGTAATTTTTGCTTCCTGTCTTTGTGACTGAGCTGCGTTGGTTTGAAGGTCTTATTCTCTAAATGGAAGAATGTGTCTACCAGGAGACCCAAAAAAATGGTGCAATTGCATTGAAAGATGACACTGCTATGTGGCCATTTTAGCCGACGTATGCCTCTGAACCAATAAGTAGGAAAGGAAATTACTGGCTGGAGTGATCGATACCGATTACTAAGGAGAATTGAGATGTTGCTATACAACACATATAGAGAGAGCTACATCCGAAACCCAGGGGATTTTTTAAGGAGCCTAATGGCACTTTCATGCCCAATAGTAAAAGTTAAGGGAAACCTACAGCAACAAATTAAAAGCCATGACTATTGAGAACTCAGACTCTTTGAGAATGAAGATTTTTGTCATTCCACCAGGTAAGTAACCCCAATCCACCGATGATGTGGCTGAGGGCAGAAGAATATATAATAGGTAACAAGAGAAGGAAGCTGTCTATGTCAATTGAAGCCCAGGACCAAGTCTGGAATCAAGGAATGTAGTAGCTTTATGCATTTTCTCTTTGCTCATTTTATGTAGGTGTTTCTTTGTATGTGCTGCCATTTTATTCTCTCTCTTTCTTATCATAATTATTTTACATGTAAATTATTGGAGATTAACTTTATAATTTAGTCTGTATATAACAGCATATTCAGTAGAACTTCCTGGGAACTTGAGATGTGGCTGATATAGTCAGAGATTCATACAGCGGTTGTTGGGACTATGGATCGTCTCATTTGGGAAAAGTAATGAAAACATCACTTGTTCAAGGATAGCTTTAGCTTGTTAGGTAGAAACAGTGTCATTTCACTGTTGTCTGGAAGTTGAAATGTGCATATAGGAATGCATACAGGCCAGGTGCAGTGACTCATGCGTGTAATCTCAGCACTTTGGGAGGCCGAAGTGGGTGGATCACCTGAGGTCAGGAGTTCAAGGCCAGCCTGGCCAAAATGGTGAAACTCCACCTCCACTAAAAATACAAAAATTAGCCGGCCATGGTGGCAGGCACCTGTAGTCCTAGCTACTCAAGAGGCTGAGGCAGAAGAATCACTTGAACCTGGGAGGCGGAGATTGCAGTGAGCAGAGATTGCGCCACTGCACTCCAGTCTGGACGACAGAACAAGACTCTGTCTCAAAAAAATAAAGAAAGGAAAAAAGAATGGATGTGAAAGATCAGTAGCCCGAGGGACAGGCTGTGACAGTTATCAGTGTATTACCTCTCAGCTCCAAATCCACCCTCATTACCCTATTTGTGAACTGGATCTGGACCCTCTAAATATTTGATATTAAGCTTTGTCAGTAGAGGGGGCTGAAAGGACCCTGCAGAAGGATGACGCTTCTCTTCCTGGTTCTGGTATGTGTTCCACACTTCTTGTCCACTATGCTTGGTTGGCCTGTGGGACACCAGCGGCAAGCCTGACAGGTGATTTCTTGGCAAGTTTCACAGCCACCACAAGCAAGTTCAGCAGCACTCCTTTCGGGCTTCCCATGAATTGTGTTGTAATCCTGGTAGGTATTTTTCTGCTTGTCAGTATTTTCCTCTGGCACCTCCGCAAACTTCTCCACCATCCAGCAGGCTCCAGCTACACGCTCCCAATGAGATCTGAATTATAGCCTTGGCAGAGGGGTTCATGCTTATGCCAATCTGTTCCTTTCCTGGAATTCTACGTTAGCCCTAGAGATGGGAACTTCTGCTTACATGTGCATTCCTACATTCTTTAGAGTTTTTTGTTTTTGTTTTTGTTTTTTTACCCATTAGTAGTTAATTACTCATTATTATTTAATAAATCTTTATATTAAACTTCATTGGATTTCTTTTTTCCTGGCTGGACCCTAACTGAGATAGGAAAAGTCTATGAAACTCATGGAAAGAAAGGTAATAGGTACAGAAAGATTAACAACCACAAGCCATGAAACAGCAGAGCACTTTAAGGAACTGTGCTCAGGTATGTGGTGACAACCACATGTGGGGATCATGTGGTGCAGCAGAGGAGTTGGAGAGGTAGGACTGTGCCATGGAAGCCTGGACAGTACCTCTGAACCAAGAAAAGAATACTTTTTATGCCGTGCAATATAGTTTTTATTTCAAAAGTATGTTTCCTGTACTACTAGACAAAATAAGTACATTTACTATTTTTAAAATTAGTTTAAAGCAGAGTAAATAATGAGAATTTTTTTGGACAAAATTATGAGGTTAATCTATAGCTAACTGACTACTAATATGTAGGAGACAAACTCAATATTAATTTCTGGAGAAAGAATGCCCCGCTGTGGCCATACAGAGAGTTTACAAAGAAATATTTCCTGTGACTAAAGGGTTTGTGTTCTGCTTCCTTGCAAAACCAGCTACTGTGCCACTTAGAGCACAGTAATACGTGGCTGAGTCTTCCTCTTGAGCGAATAGTTTCTTCAGATGGAAAGATGTATCGCTTTTGTTAAGGTCAGCAGTGAAGCCTTTGATGCTGTCTCTAGAGATGTGTCTCAAGAGTAACTGGAGGCGTTGTTTGGGGTACTGGACATACCAGAAGAGATCAGGACTCCCAGAATATGAATAGTAGCACTTCAGCTCCACTGGGGCCCCTTTAAAGACAGAGAGGAGCTTCTCGGGCTGAGTCACACTCTGGGCTCTTGTTCCTCCTATAAGAGCAATTCTGGATCAGGAAGAGCCTTACAGACTGGGGATAATATTCATTAAAGTTATTCTAAACCAGAATACCATAGAAAAATAGAACAAAAAGAGGCTTTACTCACTGAGTATAAATATTATCACAAGCACTGAGATGAGGGTGGGCTTCATGTCTGAGCGGTGGAGAAACAGGAAGCTATTTTCTGGAGGTCTTTTCTGGAAACAATTCGGCCACACAGACACTCTGATAGAGAAGTGGATGAGTTTGCCCAGCATGTAAAGCAAAAAGCTGTTCTTCAAAAAGATCAGGTTGTTTTTGGCTATCAAATTCAATTTGTGTAACATCTCCCTCTAGAGGCCAAATACAATACTGCAGCTAACTCAGGCTTCAGGAAATCTTCAAATTCAGAGAAGGAGAATTTCCTCCTCAGTTAGTAAGACAAAGTGTGATGCTATACTAATTGAAATAGAATGTTATTTTAAAAATCCACATATAGGGCTTAATGAAGTAGAATATAAAGTTCAAATATACAAATACATATGGAAATTTAGTTAAAAATGGGGAAAATGTGTAATCCTACCAATTATTTGGAAGTTAACAGATAAGTTAGGATGCCTACCTTAATACCTGTCATAAAATAAAGTTCAAAAGACATAACATTTAATATTTTAAGTAAAATAAAAATCTTTTAAAATACATTTAGAATGGTCATGGATTTTCTAAGCATGACAGTCAAAAAACATAAGAAAAAAATATAGATAGATCACACTTCATAGAAATTTAAATTTCTATACAGATATTTTAGTGAAATGTTTAAACATTATCAGATCAAGTTATTTTATTTTCCATCCACCATCATTGATTCTGACCTTCCCCACACAGGAAATGGCCCTTTGGGATTTTAGTTCTATACGCTTTAAAAAAAAAAAAAAAAAAAAAAGCCCATAATAAAAGGAACAATCATTTGACTTAGAAAGAGGGAAATTCTAGAAAAATGGTAGAATGAAAGTGTCCCCAATCCCTGTTCCTTAACCAAAGATTTTCTCCGGCTCCCAGTCAAGCTATGTTGAGAGAGCTCAAGTGAGGTGTCCCATTTTGGGGTCAGATATAAATCTGGGGTCAAGTAGGCAGAAGCTCCGGGATTAAGAGTAGAAAACTATGGGTCATGCAGATAGCTTCTCCTGCAGATATCTTGTTTTTCTAAAAAGAAAACTAATTCCCTTGAGAAAGTCTCTCCTCTGACCTCCAAATAGCTCAGAAAAAAGTAACAGATATGCTGTTACTTAAATGAGGTGGGATACAATGAGATCAGGGAGCAAAGAGATTTTCTCTAGTTTCTCTGCAGTGTACTAGCATAACTGCTGATGTCAGTACCCCGCTGAGTGCTGTGCTGCTGACTAGAGACACAGAAATGTCTAGGTTTTTTATGCCCTGAGGATGCCTCCACTTAAAGTGATCAGTAATCGGACATGTCAGGAGGGGAGTGAAGAAAGGGAAAAGATACCTCAGAGACAAATGGGAGCCTCATCTGGATCAAGCATAGCCTGAAAAAATTATCAGGGTCAGTGGCCCAATTTCCTCAGCCAAAAAAAATCAGGACTTGTGATTTGAAAAGTGATCACAATTTCATTGATAAGAAAGTTCTCACAAAGAAAGAATAACTCATCGACTGCATTGTTTATTAAGCACCCTTAAAGGAGTAAATACAATACAATTAAATTAAGAGAATTCTGTTAACACAGACATATAGTCATCATGAACATATAAAATGTCTCCAACGAGACTGTGGTTGGTAGAGAAACAGCACGTGTGTATGATGGCCACCCCGACTTATTTCCATCTCTCCTCTCCTATCCAACACTTTCTCCATTCACTTTGCAGCCCCACCTGGTCAATTCTGCTCTGTGAACAAGAGGTAGAGGTCACATTTTTTATTGTGGTAAAAAACACATGACATTAAATTTACCATCTTGACTATTTTAAAGTGTACAGTTCAGTAGTGGTAAGTATCTTCACATTGTCGTGTATCAGATCTCTAGAACTTTTTAACTTTGCAACACAGAAATTATATGAGGCGTAGACCACATTTTGAAATTCAATTAAATGTGTCATCTTTTCCCTCCCCAACCTCTTATTTCTTTTTCTCTCTTTTATCCTCTTTCTGAATATTTTCATTATTTTTTCTCATTTCTTCTCATTTCCTTTTTCCTGTTTTTCTAGTTTGAAAGGAGGTATAAAAGAAGGTGGAAACTATTGAAATAATTTCAAAGTCAAAATAGAGACTCATATTTTAGAAGTTTTAGTCATAAAAATTAAACCTGTAAAGTTTCCAGCTTTATCATTTCCCTTGCTGATTTCTACGATCAATCTTCTTGGGAGACTGTCTCTGTGACACCCATCACCGCCACAGAACATCTTTGCAGATGAATAAATGGAGACTCCTCCTGTCTGTTTCATATATGACTAGTTCAGATGCTTTGCTAACTGATGCTAACTCTCAATTTTTCACTGAGTCAGCTATCTCAGAACTTGAGGGAAAAGTTCCTCATTTAGAGTAAAGCCTAGAGAGCCTCCTAGTGGTCTGAAACCACCAGGCCAACTAAGTCATCTGTGCAGTCCCAAAGCCTTCATCCCAATTCTTTCCTGAGGAAACACCCAGATTGTCAAGCGCAAAAAAAACAAAACAAAACAAAACAAAACTGTCAGGCTTATGGTGATTTTTTTTTTTTTAAGGAAACTGGTCTCCTCCTCCAAATTCCATGTACAAAATATTTTGTCAAATTGCATCTTCAAAGTTTAATGTGATATCTCCAATTTATTTCAAAGTGAGTCCTTAGTAATTTATTGAGGTCTACTATACGCTAGATCTTGTGCTAGATCTTAAGAAATTAAAAAATCAGTAAGACATTTTCTCTACTCACAAGACATTGCAGTTTAGTGGGAAAGACAAATGTGTATATGTGTGTGTTTTCATATATATCAAGTAACACCTCAAAAAGTACAAAATGAACCCAGAAATAAGGAGATATTTCTTACAACAAGGGATGGTTATACAAAAATTTAAGGGAAATATGATCATTGTTTTCTGTTCCTAGAAAAGATAAAACAGAATGCAATCAAGAAGCTAAATAAGCTTGGGAGTTGAATAGAGACCCTTACTAAATGAAAATATAAGAAGAGCAAATGGACAAAGATGTAGAAAGAAATTAGAACCTATTTCTACAAAGATGTAGAAAGAAATTGGAGCCTATTTTTTATTAGTAATTTTAAAATATTGCAGAACACATGGATGAATACATACTCTCTCTATATATATAATTTACATTTTTATCTGACTGTAACTTTCAAGCACACAGCAGTTTGCAATTTGTTTGGAATCCAATTATATGTCCTGATAATCTACTGATGTTAACATATTTGCTTCCTAATATTCCATAGTATAGATTTATTACAGTTTCTGTAGCCATTCTCTGAGAAACACCTTGTGCTTTAATTTTCACTATTACAAAAAGAATCTGCAGTAAATATTTTGTGCATGGTTATTTGGCAGAATAAAGTGTAGAAATAAGGCATGTGGTTACCTAGAGTACTAGTACACAAGGCAGAGAAATGAGCAGCTGCAAAGACGTTGGGGCAGGAAAATAATTGGTATGTTAAAGCAACAATAAGTGAAGTGAGGCTGGAGAGAGGGAGTAAGTAGGAAGGTGGTAGCTGATGTCAAATGCCAAAGATGTGGCAGGGAGCTAGATGGACTTGCCTATTACAGTAAAGAATGTGGTTTTCATTTGAGTTAGATAGTAAGACATTATATAGTTGTGAGCAGAGAAATGAAATAATCTGAATTATGTTTTAAAGAGATTACTTATCCTGCTGCATGGAGAACAGACAGAAGAGGAACAATGGTGAAAGAAAGAAGTTAAGTTAGGTTTCTTTCAATCAACCAGGCAAGAGATTACTGTGGCTTGGATCAGGATGGTAGCAGTAAAGGTCATGAGAACTGGTTGATTATGGGGATATTTTGAAGAAATGGCTGATAGGAATTCCTAATGGATCAAGTGAGGATGTGAGAAAAGTAATAAGTCAAGGATTATTTCAAAGTTTTTGGCTAAGGGGAGTAGAAGATTTGGTAAATGGAACTGTCTTTTACCAAAATGAAGAAACGTTCATAAGAAGCGAGGGATGTAAAGAAGGTTTAGTGAGTATAGAGGTCAAATTCAGTAGACTATTTTCAGATATATTAAGTGGAGGATGTCAGAAAGAAGATGTCAAATAGATTATTTGATACTCGAATCCAGAAGCCAGATGAGTTATCTGGGATTCAGTTATAAATTTGGGTATTTAAATGGGATTTAAAGCCAAGAGACTGAATAAAACCAACTCTTTATTTACAGAGGAAAAAGACTTCCAAGGATAAATTTCTGAGGCATGCCAATGTTTAAAGATTAGATAAATGAGGGGAAAAACAGCAAAAAAGACTGAAAAGGAACAACTGACAATACTGAAGAATGAATGAAAAAAAGAGTGGAATTTCTAAAAATCAACAAAGAAAGTATTCCAGGAAGGAAGTGTTCTACAATGTCAAATGTCACTATGCCGAGTAAGATAAGTCAAAAATACTAGTTGTAGCAATAAATGCATGTATATATAAGTTTAAAAGGCTCAATTTTTCTATTAAGATATGAAAATTATCTGAATGATTTTCATATCCAGCCTTCTACTGCTTAAGAGGCACAGCTAAAAGAAACCTCAAGGAAAGTTTAAAGCGTATGATTGGGCTGTCATTGCAGGGCAGCATACTGGCAGTCAGGCAGCACCACCATGCCCACAGTGAACACCGCATTCAACTAGATGCCCAAGAGGAGGTCAGCTCTGGTGAAGGGCAAACAAAGAAGTCCATGAGGAGAACAGTAAGAATTCTGTCCCTGAAAGGTATGACATCAGCAAGATAGCAGAACAGAAATCCCTGGACCCTCTTTTCCCCAATGGACACACCAATTCAATAGCAATAGATAAATCAATTCACTTGTGAAAAATCCAGTCACTGGTTCAGAGTCTCCAGTACCTTGAATGAGCAAGCAACCAGCCACATCAAAGATGACAGGAGGGTTTGTGACATCTTCCTACCCCCAGCACAGTGAACCATAAATGAGAGGAAAGCCCCAGTTTCAGCCTCTCCCTGGGGAGGGAAAGAGTTGGACATTACATCCAACATTCTAGCTTTTCCATAGGTTGCCTGAGAGACTGGCTTCCATCACACTTGTCAAGGATCACTGATAGGACCCAGTGTATTCCTGATGCATAGGGTCACTGAGAACAAAGAGGGAAGTTTTCATTGTTTCATTTTTTGAGACAGGATGTCACTGTGTTGTCCAGGCTGGAGTGCAATGACACCGTCATGACTCACTGCAGCCTCAAACTCCTGGACTCAAGCGATCATCCCATCTCAGCCTCCTGAGTAGCTGAGACTACAGATATCTGCACACCACCCCACTGGGCCAATATTTTTATTTTTTGTGGAGAAGGAGTCTCACTATTACCCAGACTGGTCTCAAACTATTGACCTCAAGCATTCCCACCTCAGCCTCCTAAAGTGCTGAGATTACAGGTGTGAGCCACTATGCCCGACCACAAAACAAGTCTCGACAAATTTAAGAAAGTGAAATCATACCATGTATTTTTTCTAATGAGAATGGAATAACACTAGAAATAAATAGCAGATGCAAAACTAGAACATTCAACAATATATGGAAATTAAACATCATATTCTTGAGCAACAAATTGGTCAAAGAAATCAAAAGGGACATTAGAAAATGTTTTGAGATATAAACACAAAAACACAACATATCAAAATTTATAGAGTGAGCAAAAGCAGTACTAATAGGGAAGTTTATAGCAATAAATGCCTAAATTCAAAAAGAAGATCTCAAAAAACACAACTTCACATCTCAAAGAACTAGAAAAAAAGAACAAATTAAGTCCAAATTTAGTAGAAAGAAGGAAATAATAAATATTAGAGCAGAAATAAATAAAACATAGAGTAGAAAATAGCATAAAATAAACAAAACTAAGTTTTGAAAACATAAGCTAAATTGACAAACTTTTAGTTAGACTGAAAAAGAAGAGAGAATATTCAAATAAAATAAAAATGTAAGAGAAGACATTACAATTGATGCCACAGAAATAAGAAGAATCTTAAGAGACTATTAAAAAAATTATACACCAACAAATTGGATAACCAAGAAGAAATGCATAAATTTATATAAACATACAACCTACCAAGAGTGAATCATGAAGAAACAGAAAAATCTAAACAGATTTATAACTGGTAAGGAAATTGATTAGGTAATCCAAAACCTCCTAACAAAGAAAAGCAAAGGACCTGACAGCTTCACTAATGAGTTCTACCAACAATTTAAAGAAGAATTAACTCTAATCCTTCTTAAATTATTCCAAAAAAACTGAAAGGGGAATACCTCTAAACTTATTTTATGAAGCCATTATTGCCCTGATACCAAAGCCAGACAAGGACACTACAAGAAGGTATACAGACCAATATTCCTGATGAACATAGATGCAAAAATCCTCAGTGAAATACTAGCAAACCAAATTCAATAGCTCACTAATAGGATCATATACAATAACCAAGTGGAAGTTATCCCTGGGATGCAAGGATGTTTTAACATATAAAAATAAATTAATGTGACACACTACATAACAAAATGAGGGATAAAAATTACATGATCATCTCAATAGATGCAGAAAAAGAATCTGACAACATTCAACATCCTTTCATGCAGGATGGTTCTCCGGGTGGTCTTGGACCAACCCAGTTCTCTCCACTTTCTTGTTTGTGGTTCTCAAGAATAACTGTAGAATGTACTGGGAATGTAACATCTTCAGACAGGAATGAAATGGCTGGAACAGGCTGGCTGTATTTCAGATACCCCCTAGAAACAGTGTCCTTCAGTACTTTTTAGCCCAGGGTGTTATATCATCCAGGGGTCTAAAACCTAGGGCATGCTAATTTCTCAGGTCCCTCAGGTGTGGTACAATTGGACCACATGCAGATGATACCCCATCCACCCTAGGCAACTTTCCTGAGCCTTGAGGGACCTGTTTGCAAAGAGACCTAAGCTTCTGTTGTCCCTTGCTTATCTGTAATTAATAAACCTGTTTCATGTTGTTATATGCAATAAACCTTGTTGTATGCATGCGTGTTCTGTCTCACTGGACTCAGACAAGTTAGTAGCCAGTACACAGTGAACCTGCTTCACGTTTCATGATAAAAATATTCAACAAATTAGGAAATTACCCCAACATAATAAAGGCCATATATAAAAAGCCCACGGCTAACATCACACTCAATGATGAAACACAAAAAAACTTTTCCTCTAAGAGCAGAATAAGACAAGAGTATCCACACTCACCATGTCTATTCAGCATGATACTAGAAATCCTAGCTAGAGTAGATAGACAGGGAAAAGAAATTAAAAGTACTCAAATCAGAAAAGAAGTAAAATTATTTCTGTTTGTGGATGACATAAATTCATTAAAAACCCTGAAGACTCCACCAAAAAAGCCTATTAGAAATAAGAAATGAATCCAGCAAAGTTGTAGGGTATAAAAATCAATACACAACAATCAGTGCCACTTCTTTTTCTTTTCTTTTTTTTTTTTTTTTTTTTTTTTTTGGAGATGGAGTCTCACACTGTTGCCTGGGCTGGAGCGCAGTGGCGCAATCTCAGCTCACTGCACTCTCCGCTTCCCGAGTTCAAGTAATTCTCCTGTCTCAGCCTCCCGAGTAGCTGGGATTATAGGCTCCTGCCACCACGCCCAGCTAATTTTTTGTATTTTAGTAGAGACAGGGTTTCACCATGTTGGCTAGGTTGGTCTCGAACTCCTGACCTCGTGATTCACCTGCCTTGGCCTCCCAAAGTGCTAGCATTACAGGCGCAAGCCACCGCGCCAGGCCCATCAGTGCCATTTCTACACATTAACAATAACTTATCTGAAAAAAAAATCCAGAAAGCAATCCCATTTATAATAGCTACAAAATATTAAAATGTTTAGAAGTAAAATTAACTAATTAGGCTAAAGGCTTGTACACAGAAAACTACAAAACATCTATAAGAAAAATTAAAGAAGGCACAAGTAAATGAAAGATAGTCTATGTTCATTAATTGAAAGATTTAATATTGTTAAGATGTTTATACTACCCAAAGCAATCTACAATGCTATCCTTATCAAAATCCCAAAGACATTTTTACAGAAGTAGAAAAAACTAAAATTTTAATTCTAAAATTTATATGGAACCACAGAAGGCCCAGAATAGCTCAAACAATCCTGAGAAAGAAAAACAAAGCTAAAAGCACACCACTTCTTGGTTTCAGAATATATTACAAAGCTACAGCAATTAAAACATCATAGTACTATCATAAAGACAAACATAGAACCAATGGAACAGAATAGAGAGCTGAAGAATAGACCGAAACGTACGCACTCAGCTGATGTTTGACGAGGGCATCAAGAATACATAATGCGGAAAGAGTAGTTCTTCAACAAATGGTGCTGTGGAAACTGGATATCCACTTGCAAAAGAATGAAATTGGACTTCTAGCTAACATAATACACAAAAATCAACTCAATATTAATTAAAAACGTAAAACCTGAAACTGTAAAACTATTGGAAAAATATATGGGAAACTCTCCATGACTGTGGTCTAAACAACAGCCAATTCTTGTATGTGACACCACAGCCACTAGCAACAAAACCGAAAGTAGGTAAGCAGGACTTTATAAAATTTAAAAGATTCAGCCCATCAAAGAAGATAATCAATAGGAAAAAAAGCCAATATATGGAATGAAAGAAATAGTTGCAAACCATATGTCTGATAAGGTGCTAATCTTCAAAATATATAGAGAACTCCTATAACTATCAATGTTTTAATAACTTGAGTAAAACATTGGCAAAGGATTTGAGTAGATATTTCTCCAGAGGAGACATACAAATGGCCAAAGTTATATGAAAATATGTTCAACATCATTAATCATCAGAGAATTTAGATATCACAATGAGTTATTACATCTCACCTTTTAGGTTGGCTATTATAAAACAACAACAACAATGTTGATAAGAATGTGGAGAAGTTGGAATCCTTGCTGCAAAATGGTGCAGTAATTATGAAAACAGTAAGGAGTTTCCCCCTAGAATTAAAAATAGTACCATATGATTCAGCCATCCCTCTACTGGTTATTTATCCAAAAAAGTTAAATTCAGGAGTTTGAAGAAACACTTTCCCTCTCATGGTCACTGCAGCATTATTCACATTAGCCAAGATACAGGAACAACCTAAATATCTACTGATGGATGAATGGATAAAGAAAATGTGATACATGCATAAAATGGAATATTCTTCAATCTTTAAAAAAAGGAGATTCTGGGCTGGGCATGGTGACTCATGCCTGTAATCCCAGCACTTTGGGAGGCCGAGGTGGGCGGATCACAAGGTCAGGAGATCGAGACCATCCTGGCTAACATGGTGAAACCCCGTCTCTACTAAAAATACAAAAAAAAATTAGCCGGGCATGGTGGCAGGTGCCTGTAGTTCCAGCTACTCGGGAGACTGAGGCAGGAGAATGGCGTAAACCCAGGAGGTGGAGGTTGCAGTGAGCCAAGATCACGCCTCTGCACTCCAGCCTGGGTGACAGAGCAAGACTCCATCTCAAAAAAAAAAAAAAAAAAAAAGAGATTCTGCCGCATGCAACAACATGAACAACATGGATGAACCCTAAGGACATTATGCTAAGTGAAATAAGCCAGTCATAGAAGGCCTGCATGATTCCACTTACATGAGATATCTAAAATAGTCAAACTAATAGAAGTAGAGAGTAGAATGGTGGTTACCATTCTTGGGGCTGGGGGAAGAAGTGGGAGGATGTTGATGAAGGGGTACAAAGTTTCCATTAGATAAGATGAAGAATTACTAGAGATCTGCTACACAACATTGGGCCAATAGTTAACTGAGTTGTACACTTAAAAAAATTGTTAAAATAGACATCATGTTAAGTGTTCTTGGCCTGTAAAATTTGAACATAATCAAAATAAAGGACCATAAAATGCACAATGGAAGGACAAATCTGTAAGAAAAACTACAAACAAAAATGAAACGAAGACAAAAGTAAAACTGGAAGAGGTGGCACACTAAGAAGTAACTAAAGAATGTCAGCAGCCAAAGAAACCATAAGCAAGAACCTGAGTCTTTGGTGCAAGAGAAGAAGCCAACTCTAAACAGCTTTGATTATAAATCCTCTACCCTCTTTTAGCTCAATTCATAGGAATATTTTTAAACTACTTTAAAGGCATGTTTCATAATAAGGGAAGAATATGACTTCATCTCATTTTAAAAGAGGAGATTTAGGCAATTATAAATATTTTTAAGAAGCAAGATAATTCACTTCATAATTTTTGTCATCAAAAATTATAAAAAGTAAAATTAAGGAAGACTTAATTTCTGTCTGTGTGAACATTTTATAATACTTTGAGAGGCATTTTTTAAATTCACCATGTGATCAAACTATAAATAAAAATTTGGAGTAATAATCATGTACATAAAATATCTTAGACATGTTGATTTTTTGATATAATTATTTCAGAGTAAATAATAGTGTACCCTGGTCTTGGAGAAACCCATTAGAATTAATATATGCTCTGATAATGTAACCAGAAATTTTTGTTGTGTAATTTCGTAAAATAAATCTGTATAATCTCTTAAAATGGAGTGCCTCAGAGTTTTAAAGTAGTTTTTAAAGTAGCTGAATCTAGTGTATTTGATATCTTTATACTGGTTACATTTTTATCCCTCAGATTTGGAACTTGAAAATCACTGGAATAGCTGTTTTAAAAAAGATCACAACTTGATGGCTTAGTTTTTCAATATTGTATTAAGATTCATGTTTAATTTCCTGCTTTGCATAATGCTTACAAGATTAAAAATCTTGATACTATGTCTAATTTACTTTAAACATGTCAGTACCACACAGTGGGATATTATGTATGTGCTGGAAGTTAAGCTTCAAATCTAGGTTGAGAATCTGCAGTACACTGATTGAGAATCTGTGCTGCATGGGTTGCCCTAATTGAGAATCCATCCTGCACAGCTTTTAGCTAACATTCTAATCAGATTATTACATCAGTTATTCACAAGTTAACTCCTGAGGCAATACTAATCATGATGAATGCTAGAAATAATTTTTTATAAAAATGTTGTTGCCTTTTATTTAGGAGCCCTGACACCCTAGGATGTACTTTCTTCAGAGTGTGGAGGAGGTCCCCACTGAAGAAATTCATCAGTAAACCTCCATGTGGGACAAAGCGTATCTGAATGTGGCACGACATTGACATTGGAGCAATTATTCAGGAGACAAACCCTACCAAGGGCTCAGCCTACCCTGCCCTATATGCCTTCAAAAGGGGCACAGAAAAAAAGAGGCCTTCTTGAAAGCTCCACAGGTTGAGTTCTTGAGTCACAGAAAGCCTCAGCATCTCAGGAGGTTTGTGTTCAGCTCCTCTGCAGTCTCAGGCACTGTGTCACTCACAGCACAGAAGTACTCAGCCGTGTCGCTTATACGGGCTGAGGGTTTCCTCAAATGGAAGGAAGTTTCACTCTTCTTAAATTCAGCCTCAAAACCATTGATGCCTTTAACCAGGGTGGGTCCTGATAAATACTTCAGGAGAAGCTGGAGTCCTTGGTTGGGGTATTGCACATACCAGAAGAGATACACTGAAACAGACGATGAGTAGTTGCACCTCAGCAGCACAGGGGCTTCTTCAAAGACAGGGACTTGGCTGTCAAGCTGAGTCACAGACTGGGCTCTGGTTCCTCCTGCAACACCAATGCTATGTGAGTAAAAAATGTGTCTCAATTTAGATTCAATTACAACACAGTCACTTCTGTGGAAGGAAAAAGAATGGAACGTTACTCACCCAAGGTAAAAACCACCTCAAGCACTGGGACGAGCAGCAGGAGCATGGCTGAGCAGTGGCAACGCTGGAGGGCCCTGAGCAGGGAGGACAGAAGCCAAGGGTGCTGAGCCTCAGGACCTAGGAGCAGTGGGGAGGTGGGATTGGACAAGTCCCTGGCTTTGAAAAGTGTCAGAAACAGAAAGAGGACGTCCCTTAAGGAGTCTGGATGTGTTCCGACCTCTTGCTCTTGTCACAGCTCCCTGTCTACACAGACATCAGTGAGCTACATCAGCCCAGCTGCAGGGAGGAGACTCATATGAGGATGGTCTGTGATGAAAACAGGTGCCTTCGTTGCGCAACATCGCCCTCTGGAGGCCACAGGCGGAACCACGTATCCAAGGGAGCAAGCTGTTTCCTTCTCTTTTCAGGCAGCGTTTCTTTCTTCCTAAATCTGTGATGATGTCACCTTCTGTATAGTACATGCTGTTACTCTCAAAATACATGAGAAATTGCAGCCATAAAGCAAATCTCAATAAATTCAAAAATACCAAAATCTTGGACCACAGTGTAATAAAAACAGAAATCATTACCAAGAAGATCTCTCAAAACCACACAATTATGCGCAAGTTAAACAACTTGCTCCTGAATGACTTTTGGGTAAACAACAAAGCAGAGCAGAAATTAAGGAAAACAGACAGACAAAATTCCAGAATCTTCGGTTTGCAGCTAAAGCTGTTAATAGGAAAGCTTATAGTGCTAAATACCTACATCAAGAAATTAGAAAGATCCCAAGTGAACATTCTAGCATCACAATTAGAGGGACTAGAAAAAGAAGAACAACCAAAGCTCAAAGCTAGCAGAAGAAAATAAATAAACAAAATCAGAAAAGAACTGAACAAAATTGAGACTTGAAAACTCATAGAAAGGATCAATAAAACCAAAAGTTGCTCTTCTGGAAGAATAAACAAGATTGATACACCACTAAGTAGGTTAATGAAGAAAATAAAAGAGAAGATCCAAATAAGCACAATCAGAAATTACAAAGGAGAAGTTACAATTGATCCTATAGAAATACAAAAGACCCTAAGAGAATAGTAGGAACACCAGCATTCATAAAAATTAGAAAACCTGGAGAAAATTAATAAATTCCTGGAAACAAATAACCTCTAAATATTCAACCAAGAAGAAATTGAAAACCTGAACAGACTAATAATGAGTTCTGGAAATGAGTCAGTAATAATAATTTTTTAAAACCTGCCAACCAAATACAACCCCTGGACCGGATGGATTCACAACAGAATTCAGCCAGTTGTACAAAGAAGAACTGGTACCAATCCTACTGAAGCTATTCCCAAAACATTGAGGAGGAGGGTTCCTTCCTAACTGATTCTATGAAGTCAACATCATTCTGATACCAAAATCCAGCAGAAACACAATGAAAAAAGAAAATATCAGTCAATATCCATGACAAACTTAAATGTAAAAATCCTCCACAAAAATACTAGCAAACTGAATCCAGCAGCACATCAAAAAGTTAATTCAAGGTCAAGTAGTCTTCATTCCTGGGATGCAAGTTTGGTTCAACACAGACAAATCAATAAATGTGATTCACTACAGAAACAGAATTAAAAGCAAAATCATGTGATCATGTCAATAGATGCAGATTCAGCTTTCAATAAAGTCCAATATCGCTTTATGATAAAAATCCTCAACAAACTAAGCATTGAAGGAATATACCACAAAATAATAAGAGCTACGTATGACAAACAGCCAACATCATACTCAATGGGAAAAAGCTGGAACCATCCTCCTTAGGAACTGGAACAATTGGAAGTCCTAGCCAGGACACTCAAGAAAGAGAAAAAAATAAAATGTACCCAAATAGAGAAAGAAGCAGTCAAATTATCTGTCTTTGCTGACAATATGATTTGATATCTAGAAAAACCCTAAAGGTTCTGCCAAAAGGCTCCTAGACTTGATAAAAGATTTCAGTCAAGTTTCAGGATGTAAAACCAATTTGCAAAAATCGGTAGCATTCCTATACACCAATAATGTTCAAGCTGACAGCCAACTAAAGAACAAAATTACATGTGCAATAAACACAAAAAGAATAGATACCTAGGAATACAGCTAACCAAGGATGTGAAAGATCTCTACAAAGAGAACTACAAAACACTACTGAGAGAAATCAGAGAAGGCACAAAAAAAATAGAAAAACATTGCATACCCTGGATTAGGAGAATCAATATCATTAAAATGTCCATACTGCTCAAAGCAATTTACAGATTCAGTGATATTCCTATCAAACTACTAATGCCATTTTTCACAGAATCAGGAAAAAACTATTCTAAAATTCATATGGAACCAGAAAGAGCCTAAATAGTGAAAGCAATCTAAGCACCAAGCACAAAGCCAGAGGCATCACACTACCCAATTTCAAACTACACTACAAGGCTACAGTAACCAAAACAGCATAGTACAAAAATGGACACATAAACCATGGAACAGAATAGCAAACTCTGAAATAAAGTAACACACCTACAACCATCTGATCTTTGACAAAGTCAATAAAAATGAGAAATTGGCAAAAACTCTCTAGTCAATAAATGATGCCGGGGATAACTGGCTAGCCACATGCAGAAGAATGAAGCTAGACCACAACCAGTCACTATACACAAAAATTAATTTCAGATGGATTAAAGACTTAACTGAAATACTCAAAACTATAAAAATCATAGGAAAAAAAACAGATAAATACCCTTTTGCCATCGGCATTGGCAAAGAATTTATGGTTAAGTCCTGGAAAGCAATTGCAACCAAAACAACACTTGAAAAGTGTGACCTACGTAGAGTTTGTGCACAGGAAAATAAACTATCAATATAGTAAACAGGCAACCTACAGAATGGAAGAAATTATTTGCAAACTATGTATCTGACAAAAGTCTTATATCCAGAATCCATAAGTAACAGGCTGGATGCAGTGGCTCATACCTGTAATCCCCACACTTTGTGTGGTTGAAGCTGGAAGATTGCTTGAAGCCAGGGGTTCAAGACCAGCCCGGGCAACACAGCAAGAATCTGACTCCAAAAAATAGAGAGAGAAAGAAGGAAAGAAAGGAGGAAGGAAGGAAGGAGGGAAGGAAGGAAGGAAGGAAAGAAGGAAGGAAGGAAGGAAGGAAGGAAGGAAGGAAGGAAGGAAGGAAGGATTGCCAGTCGGTAGAAATCAAGACCAGCCCGGCAACACAGCAAAAGAATCTGACTCCAAAAATAGAGAGAGAAGAAAGAAAGGAGAAGAAGCAAAGAAGCGAGGAAGAATAGCTGGAATGAAGAATGAAGTTATACACAGGCTGTATGTGGCACAGCTGCAGCTGAAGGTTTAGCTTTGTTAGCCAGTAAAAACACAGCGCCAAACAAAGTTGGTAAGGTCACGGAAGGAAGGAAGGAAGGAAGGAAGGAAGGAAGGAAGGAAGGAAGGAGAAATAAAGGAAGAAAGAAAGAAAAAAGAAAGGAAGGAAGGAAAGAGAGAGAAAGAAAGAAAGAAAAAGAAAGAAAGAAAGAAAGAAAGAAAGAAAGAAAGAAAGAAAGAAAGAAAGAAAGAAAGAAAGAAAGAAGAGGTAAAAAGGGAGGGAAGGAAGGAAGAAGGAAGGAAAGAAAAGAAGGAAAAGAAAAAATCAGCTGGGCATAGTGGTATGTGCCTGTAGACCCAGCTACTCAGTAGGCTAAAGCAGGAGGATCCCTTGAGCCCGGGAGTTTGAGCATAGAGTGAGCTAGGATCATGCTACTGGACTCCAGTCTGGGCAACAGAGGGAGACCCTGTCTTTCCAAAAAATAAAGAAAGAAAAGTAACTTCAACAAATCAACAAGCAAAAAGCAACCCCATTAAAATGTAGGCAAAGGACATGAACAGAGACTTCTTAAAAAAAGACATACATACAGCCAACAAACATGAAAAAATGCTCATCATCACTTAACATCAGAGAAATGTAAATCAAAACCATAATAAGATACCATCTCACACCAATCAAAATGGCTTTTGTTGAAAAGTCAAAGAATAATAGATATTGGCTAGGCTGTGGAGAAAAGGGAACACTTACATACTGTCGGTGGAAATATAAATTAGTCCAGCCACTGTGGAGATTAGTTTTGAGATTTCTCAAAGAACTTAAAACAGAGCTAACATTCAACCCAGCAATCTCATTACTGGGTATATACCCAAAGGCAAATAAAATTTTCTACCAAAAAGACACATTTACCCATATATTCATCTCAGCATTATTCACAATAGCAAAGAAATTGAATCAAATCAGGTGCCAATCAGTGGTGGATTGGATGAAGAAAATGCGGCACATATACACCATGGACTTCTATGCAACCATAGAAAAATGAAATCCTGTCCTTTGCAGCAACAAGTATGCAGCTAGAGGCCATTATCTGAAAGGAATTAATGCAGAAGCAGAAAACGAAATACTGCATGTTCTTACTTATAGGTGGGAGCTAAACACTAGCTACACATGAACATAAAGATAGTAACAATAGACACTGGGTACTACTAGAGTGGGGAGAGAGGGAGGGGGAAAAGGACTGAAAAACTATGAGGGGGGAAAGGACTGAAAAACTATTAGGTACTATGCTCACAACCTGAGTGAAAAGGCATTCATAGTCCAAACCTCAGCATCATGCAATATGCCTTTGTTACAAACCTGCACATGTACTCCTGATTCTAAAATAAAAATTGAAAGAAATAAAATTTAAAAATTAGAAAATAAAAATGTTTTTCTCCTCAAAAAATACACAAGAAATTGGTGTTATGTAAAAATAGAAGAGTAATTTACTTCACTGAGAAATTAGTCACAGAAGACAATATTTTAGACTTTGGAATGCCATTAAGATGCTCTATGTTATTTTTTAGAGCCACTCATCAAGGAGAGGGGAGAAGATCAGTTGCCTCAGGCTTAGCTAGGCTTCATGTGGCCCTGTGCTAGTGGATTCACACGAGCATTAGAGTGGATGAAAGAGACTTCTCATTTATTAGGTGCTAAAGGAAAAAAAAAATGACTACAGACTCATACTTAAGATCAGTCTGAATCACGTGTCATTAACTAATCAATCAATGCAAACTAATAGGCAATAATTTTCTTCGTGAAGCAGAAAGTGTGAAAAAGACTTCTTGGTTTCAAATCAAGTTTGATGTTTGTAAGGCTAGGAGAAAAAAACTTACAGAAAAGTCCCATTTGAATTAT